TTCGAACCCTGGGCCGCTGCAGCCTCGGTACATGGGTCGCCAGCTCTACCCACTGAGCTAACAGGGGACTCCCATTCACTAATTTTTTGAACATAGGCTTTGTATATGTTTTAAGCTAGATTAATTTTTGGACTACCTTAGCAGAGCACCTGCAAATGTATTCATTACTTTATGAATTTTAGCTTTAGGCAGGAATGAAAACCCAGAACTGAGTTAGAATTTTAGCATCTCTGGTTCCCTCGTCTCAAAGTCAATGGGTTTTTTAAATGGGTTTTTGGTTAGTTGTCTTAGATAAGCTTAAGAGATTTTCACGTTTTGTTTTACGACCTAAAATACATCAGTAAATCCCCCGGCTGTGAATTCTGAAGCTTTTACGTGTCTTAAAAATGGCGCTTGCTAACAAGCTAAATGCGACTACAGAGGTTGTCGGTAACATTAAAACACAGAGTCCGCCTTTACAGCCTCGTTGTGTTTGCGTTCTTGCAAACTATTCTAACTCAACTTCACAACTTGTAGATTTTAATTACAAGTTGGAAGTTTAGTCAGCCATGGTGTAGTTGGTTTATAGCCTAAGGCTATTTTTTGGCGGTCAAATTTACGTGTCAAGTGGTGTTCATTTGTGAAGATTATCTTGCTGAACAAAATGTTTAGGTATCATAAACCACTTTATTTTCTGTGTCCTGTTCAGCTGACAGCAAGCTGATCAAATCTCAGCTGATTGCTCGCCACACATTCGCTGTGCTCACCATTAGCCTTTGCATCTGCACTAACAATCCAATCACCGCTGCCAGTCCAGCACCACACCCACATCCATTGTCTTCTAATCAGTGCTGTTACCATTCATCTATGTAATTATACCTCTGCAAGAGGTTATATGTTCACCTTCTCTATTGGTTTATCTAAATGTACCATATATCAAACACTAGAAAGGTTTTAATGAATTTGGTGGAAGATTTGGCCTTGGGGAAAGACAGAAGTAGTTTTCTCTGCTGATGTCGTTGGTCATTCAGTTCTATCCTTATTTTTTTTACCTGTCTTTGTTCAGCTTTGTTGTCTTTGTTTGTATATATCTATTTCTATCTTCCTATAAACTGTTTTGTGTGTAACAACAACTTAAAAACCGGGGTCGTGCAGTGGCCAAAAGAAGCTGATTCTGAGTCTGATATTCCATCCTGTTTGCCAAATGCTTATATTTCTATATGTTGCAGATATGCATATTTTATCCTGAGTACATTGTACTTGCAATAAAGTTTTGATCATGTCATGGCCATGGCTGTAGCTCTGTTTTGATCCCTTGTGTTTCCCTGTATCCCTGTGTCTCTTGTTTTCCCCTGTCTGTCTCTGCCTCTGTGTGTATGTGTGAGCATGGTCTCCTGCCTCACTTTGGCTCCTGGTTCTGTTCTCTCTGCACACCTGCCTGCTATCAAACAATCACGGCTGCCTTCAAGAACTCTGTACACACAGCCAGTCCCTGCCCAATCATAGTTCTAGTCACGCTTTGTTCATGTTCTATGCTTTTTGTTTTGTAACTGCATGTCTAGTAGTCTGCTTGTTTTTGTCTGCCTACCTGTCAGTAAGACTATAATCTGCCTGCCTTCCAGTCTCACATCTGCAGTCAGCCAGCCCTCATTCCCAGTTTTCTCTCTGCCAAGCCTTTCCTGAATAACTCATCTTCACCTCAGCCTCAGCCTCCAGGCAGCCACAATGTCATTATTCCACCATTCTTTCTGGTATTTTCAAAAACCCTCACCTAATCTGCTTGTCTAGCATCTGCATCTGGGTTCAGCCTCAGGATCGTGACAGGTCATTGGTAGAATTAGAAACACACGTCCATCTTTGTATATATTGATCAGTAAAGTAAAGCATAACTATATAGTCATATGCATGTAAATTATTAATTAAAAATGTATACAGTATCACAAAATATTATACAATATTCGCGATAGCGAAGTGTATCAATATTTTCTTACACCCTACCCTACACCCTACCCACAAGCTTACTATGGATAAGTGAGAATAATTACTAACATAATTGCACTGCTTACTTATGGTGTAACAACATAAGTGGTCCTGGCAGCACTCACTTTTAGTTTAACATTCAGCCCTTTACCAACAAGTCAGCAGAGAGACATTACCAAAGATCAACTAGCATGACATTCAGAGACAAATACAGTGACATTTCTCCCTGTAAGGTCAGGGCAGCACAAGGGAAAAACAAGATATGTGTTGGAAAAAGGAACTGCGCTACTCCAAATAGACAAAAGGAAGACGAAGAACAGTGGCAGTGCAGGGAAGCAAATCACAGCGATGGTCCTGGAGGGTATAAAAAGGGAGGCGAGGCACAACACACACAGTCACACAGGAAGATGCATGAAGAGAAAAAGATGACAATGAATGAAAAGTTATAGATTCCTGTTGTAATGAACGGTGGTTTGAGGAAAATGAAACCCTCTGGCTTTATAAAACACACAACACACAAACACTGTTTAGCTTATGTGACTATGGTGTAGACTGCTGTAGTGTTATATGACAATCTATCAAAAACGCTGACGTACTCTCGCATGATATAGGTAGGAAACACCAGGACTGGGGTCTGTTATTTCACAAACAAAAAGGCAGCATTTGAATGTCAGTGAAAATCATTGACAACAAACACTGCAGGGATCAGTGGTTGAAAGGTAAGACGCTGGGGAAACACAGGGATTCACACGTCATTTTGTATTTACTTCCAAACTTCTTTTCATTCTGCAGGCGGCTCCTCTGTGCCTTCTGGTGCAGCGTTGGGATCCAGGAAGTCTGGGTGCTGTAGTTCCTTTAGGTACTTAAGCGGGGTGAGAATGTGGGTGGCACCTACGGGGGGTAAAAGCCTGAAAGGTCAGCAAGGACTGAATTCTGGACGGAAGTTTGTTTATTATGTTAGTATGTATTTTTTACAATGGTCATAACACAAATAAAACCTCTGAGGTCTTCTTAAAAAGTTACGAATTGCTGTCAGAGGTCAGTATGACCACAGAAATCTGAATCGCAGATGATTTTGCAGATCCACTTGTTCTCTCCTCCTTCCTGTACCTGACACTGCATCCATTCCCTGAGTCACAACAGCATATCAGCTCTCACAGAGAACGTGATTAATTTCATAGATGTTCTGCTGTATCCGCTGCATAGGGAACATAAATATAAGATTTCCAAACAGACACATCAACAAGATCCAAAATCTCAGGAGGATTTATCTAGCTTTTAAGCATCCAAACCAGTTGTTCGGATGTATTCTGATCAGATTGGATCCAATCTTGAAAATGAGTTCTTAAAAAGGAAAAAACGATTATGTAATCTAGTTTTGGTTTTGATCTGTATCAAACCTTTAATGTGTGTTGTTCACAACTTTTTAGTAAAATTAGGATTCCAAAACATCGGGATTATCCTGATCCCAGCAGACGGGTGGATGCAGGGATTTCAGGAACGACTTTCAGGAAGACTTTAGAATTGGTCAAATAATAAAACACACGTATCATGTGGTATACATGCATTAATTTGTATTTTGCATTTTATTTGTTTAACAATTACAGTGATAAAGTAAATAAAGTAGACATTAAGCTACCTATTAAGCCATTCAGTATAGTAAAGTAATTACATTTAAACTTTCATTATGTATTAATTACACTGACACAGACAAAAATAGTTTCTAACAATTGCATCACTTAAATGGTAAATGGATTGTACTTATATAGCGCCTTTCTAGTCTTTCGACCACTCAACTTATTGCACGTCTAGTCCATCCCTCACTCTAAGATAACGCCTTGTCGCCGGACGCCTGTCTGGGTCTTCAACAGGCTCAGGTGCATCAAAACATCATCACAGAGAGGGACATTGCGCCTGGTAGCGATGTTGTGCAGAACTATGTATAACTTGTATGATGTTGCACACTTCCTGTTCTTCCACTTACAAGTGCCTCTTCAGAAATCCATTTAAACTTTCAATAGTATAAGCAGCAATTTCATTTTTTAAAATACTTTACTAGCCAAAACCCTTCTTCAGAATTCATTCTAATAATGCATTTTGACTGTATGATAGAGAATGTTGTTATAACCTCTTTCTCTGCCGTGGTGCCTGTGTGTGATGGGTTGCAGGTGAATTTGGTTGATTGAATGATTTATTGTGTGAGTGTGTAGGTTGTTCCAGGGAGCTGATTGGTTCCAGTCTCCAAGCTTGCGTTTGAAAAGGCTGGCATCTCCCAGCTCCTGCAGGTGTTCTTCTCTCTCCTCGCAGCCAGACTGCCAGCTGGCATGTTTCTGTGGTAAATGTAATAGATCTGCTAACTCATGTAACAGCATGGATTTAGTAGTGTGGGTAGCATTTGTATTTAACCCTTTTTCTCTTGGTTTTAGTAGTTTGGGTGATTTAGCTTACTTCCTTTTAGTTTCTTTTTGTTCATTGTTAGCTCGCCCTGAAGCTAAAAGATTCAAATAAACCTTTAAATAGGCAGAAAATTCTTTATTGCTGGTTGGTCTTAGGAGCTGGGAAGATGGGAGTCATGTTGTGCCAGGGTTCCCTCGGCTGGTAAGTATAATAGAATATAAAGGGGTGACTTGACTAATTTAGTTGGGGGACTTGCAAAAACACAGATTTACCCTTTTAGTCCAATGAACTCACCGATCAGTGCCTCCCACTTGCCATTGGCCTGGGTGACCTCGTACACACAGCGCATCTCGCTGTACGTCACCCCTCCAATAATAAAGACGATGATCCTGGGCCCCGTCTTCATCTCTGTGGGGCCCCTGTTCTTGTGCCAGTTACCATAGCGAGCACTGTGAGAGTTAAAGCAGGGAAACATTTAAAGGTAGTGATTATTTCCAATGCAAGTAGATTTTTTTATTTTATTTAAGTCAATACTGTAAGACTCTTATTTAAATATAAGATTTTACAATTAATAACAATGGCTTGAATCAACTTCATTTTATTTTTTTAAGTTACTGAAGCCATTTATTGAAGTAATGTGCTACCAGAAGTAAGGAGCATGCATTGGAAAAATTACACACCTTGATGGAGCGCTGGCTTTGGAAGATACTTGTCTCTGGGAAATGTACGGGTACTGCTTGGGGTCAAGTTTGTCCTCAATAGCGTCCTGTGGGAAACACAAGAAACAGTCTCACTTACAGTTCTCACGAAAAATACTCTTTTTCTAAAGCCACATTCAGATGGGATTAACAGGAGGAGGTGGGGAATAAAATAATCACTGTACTCCTGTTCCGGGTTGCATTTTAACTATTGCAAAATTACAGTATGTGGTTATAAGGAGTTCAGTCTAAACCTGCTCTATTTGAAAAGTGTTATAACTTCTTTTATGAATTGGCGCTATACAAATAAAATTGAAATACGGATATAGCTGACATTACAGCAGCACATTTGATGGGCTCTTCGTTCTCCTGATGGCTTTTATTTTTTCTATTATCATATTGGTTTCCAAACAGGTCTACATTTTGGTGTTAGCATGTTTATATCTAGCGGACTACCATAAACGTTTGTTTATAGCATGTTAATAACATTTTTAAAAAGTAACAAGATTTGCAGCTCTCCTTGCGGAAAAAACTCAGAAATCCCCTTTCAAAATATAAGGGCATCACTCTGGACTGGATTTAAAATACCAATAGGCCCATCAAGTTCCATGAAAACAGAATGTTTTTGAGGCTGAAATTAATATTGGGATGCGGGTGGAAATGTACCCCTCTCAAGACTATTAAAATTACTGACCAATGCAGGTCATGTTAAAATCACCCAACCTCCCAAAAGAATAAATCTTATCCTAAAAGGGCTCAAGCCTTGTGTATGGGAAGTGAGCTTGTGAACACAAAATGTGTCACAAACATCCATCTTACCAAATATGTAATCAGTTTTTAAATGCTGTTGTTCAAATGTGAGAGCAAGGCACAATAAGGTATATCACTAATGTCAAGGAGATTTTGCTTGCTTCAAGAAAAGGGTTTGTCTTATTTGACCAATTACCAAACCACAGTGGAAGATCTTATCACTCGGTTTAAGAAAAATTATATTTTAGGATCAAAACTTACAATGTTTTAAAATTGTTATAATACATCATCATACATACTATATATTTAACTACCACAGGTAAGCATCTTAAAGCAGCGACATGTGCTGTAAGATGCTACCTGTTGTAGATAAAGATGTAGCATTAATCCATAATATTTGTGTGTAGTCACACTGCATACGGCATGATAAAGGCACATAAAAAGTACCTCAATGAGATCCTTGACGAGAGGAGTCCACCTGGAGAGCTGGTAGGTCTGCTCACTGATTCGCTCCTTACGATCGGGCTTCTTGGCTTTCTTGATGGTTCCCTGTGAAGAAATGAAATGTGTCAATTTTACATGTCAGTCTCGAGTTATTTAGGCTCATATTAAGCCAAATAATATAAACCTCTGCCACCCCCAAAATGCTAATGATGTAACCCGTCTGATTTCAAAAAGTAGAGTGTTCCACAGTGTGGGGGCTCGAACAGCCTGGTCACCTTTAACTGGGATATGGGAACATCCAGTAGAGCTGCATCCACTTATCTCAGAGAACGCCAGGGAACATAGGATCTCAGTAAATCCATTATATAATTTGGAGCAAGGCCATTTAACACTCTAAAAGGATTATTAATTTAAATTCACAATCAAATCAATACGGAATAAAACAGGATGGCCAGTGTAAGTTGGATAAAACACGAGTCATGATCATATTTCTTTGTGGCTGTTCAAGCAAATAAATATGAAAGCATGGATAACAACATCACAACATCCACTTGACTATCAAAACAGAGATCTGCAACAAATATTCTGGCAAAATTTCTAGCAGCCTGCTTCATATTTTAAGTAAAGGGGCTGACCTTGCTGTGAACCAGTTTGTTTGACCAATGGTTCTAATCTCCAATTTATCATCATTTAATTTTGTGTCTTAACTTTTGCGACATTGAGAGTTTAACATCCTTGAGGCAAGCAAGGAGATTATCTAAATCGCTAGAGTTACGAGACTGAAGCGGGATGTATAACTGAGTACCATCTGCAAAACAACAGTAGGAGACACCATGATTTTGAATTATCTGGCTAAGAGGAAGCATGTATATTGAAAGTAACAGAGGTCCAAGAATGAACCCTTGAGGAACACCACAACTAAAATTGGAAACTGAAGAGCTGGCATTTTGAACAATAACAAAGAAAGTCTTATTAGTCAAGTAAGAACGTAGGAGATGTAGAGCTTAGAACAACCCAGATTTCTAGATGGTGCAAAAACAGTGAATTATACTGTCAAAACAGCCCTCAAATCTAAAAGTAAGAGGACTGAGCAGTCACCCTATCCGTTTACTGCTAAAAGTAGGTAATTGGAGACCTTGATAAGGGCTGTCTCAGTGCAGTTCCAATTTTCAAAACTCTGACTATTGTTAGAGGCTCACATCCATGCACAAAATATGCTTTTCCAGTGAGAAGTTAGCAATACAGGTTGGTGAACTAATTTTGGTACACATGCTTAAAGAACAAGCAACTTGAGGAACCATGCTGCTATATTATACATATAGTAGAAAGTAAAAGAGAGGTGAGGTGAACAGAGGTCTTGACAACTTCAGAAGTGTTAAGAACCTGGTGACAACCTGCTCAAGATTAAGGTTAATATGGTTCACAATAAGACAATGAGGCTCTGGGCCAGGACAGCTCACCTCAGAGACAATGGGAATGCCCATGTGGGCCATGTTGGAAATGATGTCACTGTCCTCTGGTGGAATGCTGGCATGCTGAAGGAGTTTACACAGGTTCTCCTCAGTCACACCTGACACACACATAAATATGCACAAACACATGCAGCATAGACTTTCAGTTTATCCAACACACACATGCATGACAGCATGTACATTTACATATACAAAATAATGCATGCAAACACAAGGAAACCTGAAAAGGGATTAATACCAAAGAAACAAAAGAATAAAATATGAATGCAAACACATTTAAGATTCTTTTTAAAGATTCTGACTGGGCTGTTTAGACATTTCCTTCCTTCCAAATGCACAGAACAGTGGATAACTGACCGTTCTTTAGAAAAATGTAGAGCAGGATGATGCGGATCTTGTCAGACACACTGACATTGGTGTCCAGTAGAACGGGTACAATGAGCCTCATGGGATCCTTGATCTTCTCTCCCTCTGCATCAATGCCCATTGCCAGATCCTGAAACAATGAAAGAGAGAAGAGGCCAAAGCTCAACACAAGTTACATCTTAACAATACATAGGATCAAACGTTTCTGTGTGGAAATTTAGCTCAGACATAAGAGGAATGTGGCTGCAGTTAACTCCAGAAGGGTCAGCAGGAAGTTGTTACATCCCAACAACAATGTGTTGTATCATGGTGTGTGTTCAAATTTTACTGCCTTATGACTTCAAGAACGAGTGCAAGTGGCAAAAATATTCCAACTGTTGACTTCTGGTACACTGACATGCACCTGTCCCTGTACCTGAACTCACTCCTGACTCCAGCACAAAACACTGACATGAGATTGATACCAGTCTTGCAAATAAGCATAATTCCCACCCAACATGCTGTTATTGGTTGCTTATATTGGAATGCCACATTGAGTGAAAGGCTAAATCTTGTCCCGAAGCAGATTCAGTCTCTCCTTTGACAAAAATCTTAACAATATTACAAAGATTCATTGCCAATATTCATCCTACTCTTCCTATGGCTGATGCTGAAACACTAGTATACAGTTTTCTCTCTAAATCAACTAAAACTAAATAAACTACAGCTTGTACAAAATACTGCTGCTAGGATATTAAAGAAAACTAGAAAGTTTGACCATGTTACCTTATGTTCTTATTTCATTACATTGGCTCACTGTATGCTTTCAAGATTCTACTTTTGCTAGCTCATTCTTAAGTAAACTCAAAACTCATCTTTTTGCATCAGCCTTCTGCCCTAAATACTAAGAAAAGAGCAAACCTGACTTGACACTGGTTGGTGTCAAGGTAGGTTCCCTCCCTTTTCATATTGTTACACAGTCTAGAGACAGATCTAACTATAAAACAGAGAGGTGTGTGTGTATGTGTGTGTGTGTGTGTGTGTGTGTGTGTGCACTTGCGAAAGTGTGATTTACTTGTTCTACACGACAGAGTTTGTCCACAGTGCCCTGGTAGCGATTCATACAGTCCTCAGCCAGGTGGAGATGGGTTGAATACTGAGGTCAGTCAGGAGAGATACTGTTAGTGAATTTGACACATACAACCAGCGCGAACCTAGTGCTAGTTCTGGGGCTCATGCTCGTCCTGGTTCAGACTTCATTTCGGAAACCTTCTATGAACTGGTTTCCTTTTCCACAGGATAGAGGCCCAAGTCATTACGTCACATACCTAACATACTGTTACTGTTATTAACCCCAAATGAAAACAATAAAGTTATGAAAGAAACATTGAGAAATTAGTAGCTTGCTAAACAGCTAATAAATACATAGCTGGCAGCCCAGTCCCTGTTGTATGCAGTTCTCGGTTCTAGATCAGCAATGTGTCGTTGCATTGCTGGAACCAGTTTTAGTTTGGTTTGATTGTCGTATGCAAAGAACTGGTTAACGATTAGGCAAGAGGTAACAGAAAACACACTCAGCTGCAAACAGTATTGAAAGAGTCATGTATTATATGTACACCTTGGGAAATAATGTTCTGAACATCTGTGTTCTGTGTTAGTATCAAATGTCATAGATGGTGTTATTTTCTTTTCTTGCTGATTAATTGTTAAAACAGTTACAGTTAGATTATTCAAGTGCCTGTACATACCTGCACATATGCACATTTGAGTGTCAACAATGTCACAGTATCAGATTTTTCAAAAATGTAAATCAACCTGGCCTTTCTAACTCAATAAGTGATACACTAACTGCACTGACAAAAGTTTTTTTTTTTAGTTTAATTCCCACTTCGAAAGAGGCAGCCCCTTGTGGAGCTTTAGATAAAAACACTTAACAATATCTACTAAATACAGTAGCATGGCATTCTCTAACTGTATATGTGCAGTAACACTTCAATTCCTACCTTGCTGAGCTCCTTCTGATACTGAGGCATCTTCTTCAGCATCTGAGACAGTTCCTTCATGGTAGTCTGAAAGGCAGATGAGTGATATACTTTACTGATAAAAATACATTCATCCTCTTTACATTAATAAAATATCTTCAGTGGTGGTGTAAAAATTATATTTACTTGAGTACTTTATTATGCGTACTCATCAAGGAATGCAAAGTTTGTCATACACTCTAGTTCTGTATTAGATCATAAAGTGCTAAACCTTCCCTAAAAATGTGAAGCTAATGTTATGACCTGCATTAGCATTAATTAATGTTCAGTGTCATTGGTTTTTGATTTAATATCACCACAATTTGATGTGAAACTTAATTTCACTCCTAATTTCCAGCAGGTAAAGCAGCTGGACAGATGTTTGAAGGAGGCACCTCTAGCATGTCCTGTTCATCTTTTGTAGCATGAATAAGTAACTGCACGCTGGGTTCTTTTGGGGCTTTAATTTTGTTGTTAGCTTCACAACACAGTGAAGATGTCATTTTCAGTGGGTTCAAGATCAGTATACTCAGTCCAGACTTTTGAGTGGGGCACTGACGTATGCAGGGGTGGCAAGAAGTATGTGTCACAGCTTTCCAGTCATTTCCAATTTATGGTAAATAGAAAATAGACTGTACTTATATAGCGCCTTTCTAGTCTTCTGACCACTCAATGCGCTGTACACTACATGCCACACACACCACTCATGGCAGTGGCTGCCATGCAAGGTGCCAACTGCTCACCAGAACACATGTATGAGTGTGTGATGCACAGCATCGGGAGCAATTTGGGGTTTAGTGTCTTGCTCAAGGACACTTCGACATGCAGCGAGAGGAACCTGGGAATGAACTGCCAACCTTCTGATTAGTGGACGACCCACTCTACCTCTGAGCCACAGCCGTTATGTAAATTCCAAAACTGTTTATGGACCACAGTCTGCAGATATATACAAATACACTAGGTGAAATAACGCATTTATAGCACGTGCAAAAGACTGCATGGGACTAGAATAAATTGGGCTTGTTTGTAAGGGGGAGACCCATAGACCCCATTTTCATTCAGATTTGTTGAGGTCAGAGGTCAAGGGATCCCTTTTAAAAAATTGGCCATGCCGTGTTCCAACACCAAAATCTAACCTAACTGGAGCGTTATTTGGCCCCTTTCCCAAAATGCTAGCACAACATGGTTGGTACCAATGGATGTGTCATATCTAGTTTCCTATGATAAAGTATTTTCACTCTAGCTTTAAAACAAAGCCCGCTACAGAAAAAAGGTAAGGATAATGAGCTGGCCAATCAGATTTTTAAGTTTAAGTGGAGACTAAATTCTCGCATATACACACCATCAAAGTGTATTTTAGTGTTTTCTAAAAATTAAAGTTCAGTACATCTGCACGATACTTTGTCTCTCTGTCCACCTCTATGTGACTGTAAGAAGGACAGCTGGAAGCAGAAACACAGTAACAGATCCTGAAACCGAAGCAGAGTGATAAAGTGTGTCCTCTACCTTTTCTCCAGTGTTCATCTTTTTGCTGGCAGAGAACTCTTTCAGAGAGCGAGTCACAGCCCTGTGTAGACAGAAAAGGACAAGAAAAAAATGTGTCGATAAATGAAAAGTGAGACGGCTCCATGTGCTCTGCGACAGACAGCTTTATGACCAGCTGCAGGTTTGTGACAGAGGAAGTTGCCCATGTGGTTGTTTATCTGCGCTACAAGTGTTTGTATGTGAGTCAGAGCCACTTACGTTGTCACCTCCGCAATGTGTTTGTGTCTCAGAGTCAGCCACAGGTCGTCATCCTCATCGAGCACTACCTCCTTCATTCTCGTCTCTCCCATCCCACTGGTCTCAAAACTGACAGAGAGACAGAGATATAATATTACGAGAATAAAGTCGTAATATTGCGAGAATAAAGTCGTAGCTCAACCAAACAGCAGCCTCAGCCTGAGGTCAGCAGCCGCTGTTCGTCTCAGTCGTACCGTACAGTCAACAGGTAAGTTAACGTATTAGATCATTTCGTCGTTAAACAGTTCTTGCTGCTGCAAGCCGACAGGCTTGACAGTCTCTTCATAAAATTACTACTTTATTCTCGTAATATCATGACGTTTTTTGTAATATTATGACTTTATTCTCCGTAATATTAAACTTTATTCTCGTAATGTATACCACTTTTTTTCCTCCCGTGACCTAAATATTCTGGACTTTATTCTCGTAAATTATGACTTTATTCTCATGAATGTTCCCAAAAAGAAAAGGCCTGGCCCTAATACGTCCGTAGTACATTCCCTATCTTTCTTGATATAAGAAAGCAATTTTCTTTTTATCAAAAAAGATAACGCTCTCAAGTGGTATGTTTTCGCTTCAGTGCCCAGGTTCGTTCTTACAAATGCCTTAGGAGCGATAGAGGAAACCAGACGAACCAATTTTTTTTTTCTCGATTATCTGTGTCATCGTACTACTGTTCAGGATCAAGCTTTCATTTGAGTTTATGAATTTAAATTTTTTGAGTTAATTATTTTGCTTTTAAATTACCTACTGCAGCTAACATATGTTGGGTTGAAGTGATAGCTGAAGACATTTGAGTTTGTAATTACCCCCCAGTGCCACCAACGAAAACAACACAACCCAAACTAAGCGAACAACAAAATAAAGAGCAAATATAACGAAATATCAGAGAGCCAGCTTGAAGTCTTACCTGTAGACGTCGTTCTCGATGCCCAAGCAGTGCGTAGCCATGGGCGCAATGTGAGCATCGGTGCAGAGGGTGGTCACAAGGATCAACCCACGATCCAGAATAAGCAGCTGAGTAGGAGACTTTGTCTGGACCCTGCAGGATCAGAACACCACCAACAGCACCGCGGCACAAGGTGATGGACTGATATATGGCTATTGTGCAGTTTGTCATTCAATATTGCTAAATTACACAGGATCTAGGTTATAGTCCTGATCTTTTGCTACGCACAGACTTCCCATCCTTTTAAGAAAAACATAGCATTACACTGTAAATGAATCCGAAATTTATTCAGAATAATAACGAGCCATAAATTTTAGACTACTAAGTGAGAAACTATTTGAAAGGGTCTGTAAAGGCATCATTACTCCACTGTCCCTAAACTCTCCCATGGGATCCATCAGCCTTGTAGCCGTTCAACTCTCTCCTTGAAGCATCTGAGCAGAACCCGCACTAGTCTTTGTATCTCCCTGAAACCAGGCCACACATACACATACACACCGACAAATGTTTTATCCTGAACATGCGATAATCAACTGTTTTAGTTACACTTACTAGGTATAATAATAATAAAATACATTTTATTAAAGGGCGCCTCTCTGGGCCCACTCCCCGAGCGAGGACACCGTACAACACATAAAAAAAAAAAAAAAGTAGTGACACTACTAGTCATATTACTTTTCTCTTACTCCCCACGAAATTGGTAATTGTGTCCTTCCTCCCCAAAATTCTAGTTTTGTTTGTTAAAATCAAAGTAATATTTTCAGAAGCTAAATGTAAGTTTCTATTTAGATCAGTAGGAGAGTGAAAACAAAAACAAGGTTGTAAATTTTGGAGAGGTAACTGTGATATTATTACTGAAATGTATTAGTAATTAGTTACACTACTAGTTACTGGGAAAGTGATATTATTACTTTATTAGTACTGTTATTAAACTGTACCTAAGGTTTTACAAACTCATTTAAACATGAACTTAAACAGTTAAGTAGAGATGTCCAGTGGTATAAAACATATATTACAGAGAGGGTTTTTCAGTGGTTCTGGGTAGAACTCTAATGACTTAAATATCCCTGTAATTTGTCAAATTAGACTAAACACCTGAAAAACTGAATGCAAAACCCAACTCATGATGTTATACTGCTATTCTGGAGTAGTAGACAACTGGTCGGGCTTCTTGCTATATGGAACTTTTTCACCAGGGGTACAGGGTTTTTCCATGGTTAAAGCCTAAAAGGCCATTTTATGTTGCTACAGAAATACTAGATATTGACGCTCTCATTAGATAACATGAGGATCACCCAGTTACTGTCGGAAATAAAATGGACAGTGTGACTTTGTATTAAACAGCCATCCACAAAATGTAATTTGGTAGTAACTGGAAATGTAAAAAGTTAGTGAATGAAAATATTGTTTCTGTTAGAGGGGAGAAATGGGTGGAAGACCATGTAAGTTTATATTAACAGGGTAATTCAGAAATTAAGGATGCTCCAAAAAAAGCCCATTCCAAATAAAGGCCTGCTTCACTCTGCAGTTGAGGTTAAATTGCAAAAATGGGAGGGTAATATTTCTAAGAAACATGTCAATATGACGAGAGGTCTTTTCCTGCAAAACTTGATGATATCACCTATCACGCCAATACTATTATAAGACTAAAAGCAAAACAACAACAAAAAAAGACTATTTAAATATCCTTTGCTGTCTCACCCTCTGTATCGGACTCCAGGATACTCTTTGAGAGTGTTACAGAGGGTGGCGAGCTGCTCAGCGCAACGCTCCAGCATGTTGTTCTTCACGTCAACCTTGAAGGGGCTGTAGAAGTCCTGAAAGGCATCGATTTTACCCAGGGAGAAGACCTGGACACAGTGGACATGACAGAGAGACTAAATGAGGTCCAATCTCACCTTCATATAGGTATGCATTGATATACTTTATTATACTCAGCAGAGTTTTAGTGTTCTGATGATCTAAATGCAAAAAGTAGGGAAATAGGAAATAATAGTTATCTGGGCTTGATCCCCTCTAAACATATATACTAATAATCAGCTTAATTTTTTTTTTACATCAAAATCCTTAATTCTTACAATTTGAATATGTAAATAATGTCTTCTTCTTCTTCTCTGGGTGGAGAGGGACTCAAAATTGATTAATGCTACACTGGTTGCCTATATGGGGCAACCTTAACCTGACTGATCCAAAGTAAGGATGGATTTATTATCGGTTACAATATACAATATACCATATTCAGCTTTGATAAAGAGTTTTAGTCTTTTATGATGATTTAAATGATTAAAGTTAAATAATAAATCCAAACCTGTTGGCCATCAGAAGCTTGTGTCTAACAGTATTGGAACTGGCACTCAAAAGCTGACACTAATTAAATCCATACACACACTAACACACGTATACATGCACCCATCTGTTACTGACTCCATCACATGATAAAAATCCTTGTGCTTTCCTTTGTCACACATCTTATCTACGCTCCCATTGGCTGCAGAGCATGAGCACTGGTTCTGTCAGCCAATGAGGTAAAGGGATGAGTGGAGGGAAGGGGGGTAGGGCTGGTATGATGTGTCCCTCCCTCTCTGGATTAAAACTGCAGGACAACAGCAGAGGATTGAAGGCTAATGCTGATCCAACACAAAACACTGTCGGTGAGGTCCTCTTCACCACTGTACATCCCTCTGTTCAAGAACTGTGTCTGTATCGCATAGCAAGGTTGCTGCTGTTTTCCTACCTTTATATTTTAATTTAGTCTTTTCTTTCAAAGTTGCCAACACACTTGGCCAACAGAGCGCTGGATAATTCTTCTGATGAATACTTTCAATAATGCCAACGTTTTTTAAGGTGACAGGAAGGATGTAGCTCCCACAATATCCACACATGCTGACCACAGTGTGGTTTAAGTATGGTACAATTGTGCAGCTAAAAAATCCATAGTCACATGACTGTGCGTAATGTGAAAAGGTAGTGGTAGTGATGAATGCACAGGGAAATATCATCAACAGTCCACTTCCCCTCTACTCTATTGAGTTTTTTAGTGTCTTTCAGATAATTTTTTAGGTTTTATGTTCTGCAAACTACTGTTTAAGTTCAGTCTCACTGCCCTTCTTCAGTGTAAAAGCTCTGATAAACCCACTGTATACTACTTGTCCATCACCAAACAGCAGATAGACACAGTTAGAGACTAGCTGATGAATGCAGTGAAGCATTTAGGAGCTAAAGAGTCGATAAAGAAAATATTTTTTTCTCAGGAGTTGGTGGAGTCCAGATTGAGAAAGACAAAAAAAAAACTAATTTGTGTCCAAGATTTAATGATATTTGTTCTCAAATTAATAATTAATGCGCACAATTTAGCAAAAATTTCACCTTAATGCCATTAATCTGGTCTTGCGTGTACCCGGCACACTGTGATCGCTTGGGTTTTATTTTGATCTTGGACTACGATATGTGGACACACTTCAGGTTTTGGCTGTTAAACACAATACTGTTATCTTTGAGATCCCTTAAGGGACCAGTGTGTAGGATTTAGTGGCATCTAGCAGTGTGGTTGCTGACTGCAGCACCTTCACCTCACCCCCCCTGTTCCAAGTGTGTAGGAGAGGGTACGGTGGCTGTGAAACCTAAACTGAACAGGAAAAGGCCCTATCTAAAGCCAGTGTTTGGTTTGTCCTTTCTGGGCTACTGTAGGAAAATGGTGGTTCAACATGGTGGACTAACTACTGTATGTCATCTGAACATCTTGATCTATGGGGGCCTGTGGCGGCCAAAGGGTCCCAAACAAATCACTTTATTTGTTTGTACTTTGGGATGCTTGCAAACAGCTGTCCAGCTGTGTTCACCAACAGCAGCAGTAACACTGGTTTATGTTTAATATGTGTATCAGGAATGCTGTGATTTAAACAGAACATGTTGTGGTTACAGTGATCAGTTTGTGCACCATAGATCTGTGCATGGCACACAAAGGATGCAGAATGACCAAAATGTTCATATAGTTCCTGTGTGATACAGTACACACAGGATTCAAATAATAATAACAATAACCACGAAAACAAAGTCCATTCAGAGCAACAAGAGAGAAGCAGGTTTATCTGCAGATGTTACACATACTTCTAAACCTCATCCATCATATCTGAGGCTGGTGGTTTGAGCGGCTGCCACGGTCTAATCCAAGTCTAGACAGTGTCTTACCTGAGATTCATAGGGCAGAAAGGCGATGTGGATCTCAGTCAAGGCCTTCATGGCTTTGGAGGCGCGGGATTTGGTCAGCAGTCCAAACAATGAGTCTGGGATAGCTGTCGAGATTCACAGAAAAACATGGTGACTGAGAGAGTTAGACAAAAGAATGTCAACATTATGTCGGTCTTGAATGTTGTTACTTTCTTAAATTTGAATTTTAATCTACCAAATATTAGTAGAGAAAATATGGTCTTTTCCTCTTAACTAATGTTAGACATACAGTAAAAGTCAGTTTAATACTCAGGGAGTGCTTCATAACCTGTGAAATAAGTTGTAAAAGGTCTTCTGTGACTCTGTTGAGTCTGATAAAAAAAACCTCAATATAAAACCCCAACACCTTAGGCATAAAATCTGAGTAATTTTTTTTACTTTTTTATGCAACCAGAACAGTTGGATCTGTAATAGTATTTATCACAGTCCCTGTAACAGCTTAGCCCTGAGTTTACGTTTACAACATTGCTAACGGTTGGGGATTTAAACACAAGAACTTATACACTGTTTTTGAGAATTGATACAATATCACAAAACTAAACTAAGTGTATCGATATTTTCTTACACCCCCTAGTTATCACCAAAACCCTGCACAGTGCTTTGTAATACTATGTGGAAGGATTTTACATCTGTAGAAAGTTAGCAATCAGTCTTTTATCACAATGACTGCCAGGTAAATACATGCTGTTCATGTTACAAAGACCTCGTCCAAGAATGTGTTCAGTGCCTTGCTGGATGATGCTGATGATAATTTGAGCCAGGTTCAATTTGTTTTTTCCAGAGCCATCTGCATCTGCACCCAGGCTTTTTTCACACAGGCTTGATGTCAGGCTTAAAGTGACCTAAGTGGATATGAGCAGAGTCACGTTCAGCTCTGATTAAGCGCTGTGTTGTAATCATGGCAAAAGAAAATGTGTGACCAAGGCTGCCTGTTAATTGCTGCCTCCAGTGGGTCTATTCAGGTCCAGCAAAGTTTAGAAAGGGTCTATTCAGGAGTTCATTCAGATCATGTCTGACCCCTTTCAAATTAGTTTTGGAAAATGAATTAAAGACTTTCAACTTGTGAGGTCTAGTCCAGTGACAGCCACACACTCCAGTTGTGCCCACTTTTCGACAAAGAAATCTGTTTTAGGATAGTTTTGTAAGAGAGAGACTAATTGAACAATATGTAATTTTATGTCAAAAATAATAATTATGATTAGGCAGTCTGCCTACAGGAATCAGGTTGTTCTCTTTGCTTTTTCCCACTGTTATGAGCTATATGTTAGTAAATATTGATACACTGTATTTTGTTCTGTGATATTGTATTGATTCTCAAAAACACTTTTGATTTTGGTGTTTAAACCTAAACCCCCAACCACTAGATAGCGGTGTTGAAGACGTAAACTGAGGGTTATTATGTTGGATGTTACAGGGATATCACAATATATTGAATTGTAACCCCTGTATTTGATACATATCATATCACCTCATTCTTGTCCTACATGTTAGCTTTTTTTTAAAAAAAATTGTTGGTATGGTTAAAGCACAAGGACCTCCTAACATGAAACTGGATTTTTTGTGTATTTCAAAGGACAAAACGTGAATGTTCAAGGAGTATTTTGCTGGTGTTGAGTGGATCTACTCACTGTCGGTGAAGAAGACGTGAGCTGCTCGGTACCTCGGAGACTGCGGGTCTCTGAAGTCGTCAATCAGACCATCAACAGACTGAAACAGCAGAGAACAATGTTTTAACTTACGAACTGTGAAGGTTACAAATTCAGTTCTTCACTCCGTTTAAAAGTTAGTGGAAAGAAATACTGAATAAAAATCCAACATGTTTAATTTATTTAACGTGACATTGAGAAGAACAACAATTGTACTCTGTATCACCCCACCATGCAAACTAACCATAGCACCATTTGGAAATGTAATTTGAAGAATTCAAATGACAATAAACTGGCTTTTCTCAGTTACTGGGCGAAACTGCAAAATACTGTAGGACAAAGAAAGTCGATGAGACATCAATGAGAGACTATTATGGGCTGTACCATAGAATTATAATCAGCCTATACAGGAGCTGTATCATTTACCTCGTCTGAGGGTGTGATCAGGTAGATGGCCTCCATGCTGGGCAGAGGCTCACGCCGCTTGGTTATGTCTTCTACAACTGGAGAACACAGGCAAACAGTTAGAATCAATACTCACCTATCAGCTTGATTAGACTAGATATGCTCTCCTGAACATCTGACCTCAGATCAGTCAGTGTTTAATGCAGAACAGGGACAGAACGTTTTGAGGTTTTTGTTTCTCAAAATACTGATGGATGCTCTCTCAAAGGTCATAGCAAGTTTGAAATATTATTACTGTTTTAAGTCCTTTGAAAAAGTAAGCATCTAAACAATTTGTATACTTCTGTTTATCAGTGCAAGGAATTTACATAAATCCTGGTATGTAGGGTGTAGTGATTCAGTTTAGGAGTTGCTGACAGGGCTTTAGTCTCATTCTGCTTTCTGGACCAACTCCTTTAATTCAGTTTAATTTGTATAGCACCAATCATAACAGAAATTATCTCAGAACACTTTGTAAATAATCTAATAGACCTGCTCTATTTGAAAAGAGTACATTTATAATTGACTAACATTATATTAGCTGCTTACTGAAACACCCTGAAATGAAATGAATTTTCAAATGAAATTTAACTTAATTTAAGGTAGTTAAAAGTGAGGGAGGGAGAGAGATCTGTGTGTGTTTATGACATAGGGAAGGGGAGAGAGGGATTGATATGTAACATTAACATTATCTTCACAGGAACAACAGTTATTATATACCATGGAGCACACTGCTATTCTCTAGTCTTGAGAATAAGGATAATATCCAACAATTTGTACATGCCATGACTGTAATGGATTCTGCAGTCTTAAAACTGCATTATTTCTAACGGCCAGCAGGGGACAGGGACTACAAAACTGAGAAATCTAAGTCTATTTCTCAGTTGATTTATGAGTTCAGTAAACAGTTTCCTAATGAGTTTATGGTGTCAATCTCTAGTTTCAGTCTTCTTCCATACAGCATTATGCTCATTTAGTAAATGATGGTCCCATCTAGAGTTAAATAGACAATAAAGCAGGGTATGCTTTAGGGCGTGGCTACCTTGTGGTTTATTCTCAGTAAGTCCGTCCAGCTCAACGCACC